AGTTCAAAAGCTATATATAAACCAATCAAATAAAAAAAAGAGGCGTTGATTTGTTGTGGGAGCAAGGAGGAGAAGGTTGGTGAATTAACCATGATATTCTACGGCTACTAACTCCACAGAAACTTGAGTAGCAACTACTTAGAAAATATGAGAGGTTGCAGCTCATCGGTCAGTTCAAAGCTTAAAATCTGAGTTTGTATATCTGAAACAATCTTCACTGACATTTACTGACCTCTGTGGCAGATTGGACTGCCATTTGTCAGAAATGGTGTAGGGTCTCCTGCTTGAGCGGAGGGTGGGGGTTGGACTAGATGACCTATAAGGTCCCTTCCAACTCTGTTAATCTGTTATTTAATCTGTTATCTGTATGGACTTTACCTGTGTGACAACAGCCCAGGATTTCAGGACTGGCCCTGTCAATAGCAGGCTGCAGCCAATTTGAAGTGATATGATTTTCAAGACAGGGGTCCTGCCCCCTTAGCTGGTTGGTTTGTCTTTTCTAGTTTATTTATTTATTATTTATTTTGCTTGTCAAACATGTACAAGATAGCAGGTACAGGTATAAACATAAACAAAGGAAGTAAGTACAGATAAATGGGGGACAGTAAGACAGGGACGGTAGGCACACTGGTGCACTTTACGGACCTCTTAGGAATGGGGTGAGGTCCACAGAAGACAGTCTAAGGTTAAAGTTTTGGGGGTTTGAGGCTGTAATAACGGAGTCGGGTAGAGCATTCCAGGCGTTGACCACTCTGTTGCTGAAGTCGTATTTTCTGCAATTGAGTTTGGAGCGGTTTACCTTGAGTTGGTATCGATTGTGTGCTTGTGTATTGTTGTCGTTGAAGCTGAAGAAGTTGTTGACAGGTAAGACATTGTAGCAGACAATTTTTTTTTGAAAAAAGTTTTATTTTAGATTAAAATAAAAAAATAAAAATAAAAAAAAACACAACAACAACATAAAAATATCATCCTTACAAACAATTATAGACAGTATCTCAATCGGTTGAAATCATTTAGTGCTTACAATTCTCCAGATCTCCTCATATAACAATTATTCTTTACTTAAACTGAAGATAAATATTTAAACATTTCATATATGCTATCTCATCTCCATACTTTTTTGTCAAACCATTGATAAAATATCTCCCATATCAAATAGTATTGTTTATCTTCCTGTTCTCTTATTTCAAATGTCAATCTACTCATTTCAGCACAGTCCAACATTTTCATAATAATTTCTTCATCAGTAATTATCTTCTCTCCTTTCCAGTTTTTGGCAAATACAATTCTGGCTGCTGTTAAAATGTTCACAATTAAATATTGTAATTCTTGCGGATGTGAGGGCGATCTGGCTGCGACATCTGTCACCCCATTGATCTCCAGGGTTGACAATTTTGTGTACTATGCTTAGATCAGACCGAAGGCGGTGCAGTTCCAGATTGTCCAAGTCCAGAATTTCAAGTTCAGGGTTCACTGGTTTAGCAACTGAAGGTAACAACAAAATTCAGCAACTGAAGTTACAACAAAGTTAACAACAGTGCTGGAAAAAGTGACTTAGAACTGGTATTCACAACCATTGCAGCAATCCCCATGCTTATGTGATCAAAATTTGGGCTCTGGGCAACGGGCGTGTATTTATGATGGTTACTATGTCCTGGCTCTCCATTTGTGACCTTCTCAACTGGGTTCCAACAAGCAAAAACAAGATGTGTGTGTGTGTGTGGGGGGGGGGGAAGCCTGATTCCCTTAGCAACAGCAAGTGATTTGCTTAATCCCCATGGCAAAAAAGATCGCAAAATTAGGCGTGATTCGCTTAAGAGCCATGGTGGCGCAGTGGTTGGAATGCAGTATTGCAGGCAAACTCTGCCCACTGTCAGCAGTTCGAAAGGCTCAAGGTTGACTCAGCTTTCCATCCTTCTGAAGTCGGTAAAATGAGGACTCAGATTGTTGGGGGGCAATAGGCTGACTCTGTAAACCGCTTAGAGAGGGCTGTAAGGCACTGTGAAGCAGTATATAAGTCTAAGAGCTATTACTATAAAAACCATTCCCACTGCCCGCAGTTCGATCCTGACCAGCTGAAAGTTGAGTCAGTATAAGGACCCAGATTGTTGGGGGCAACGTGCTGACTCTGTAAGCCGCTTAGAGAGGCCTGTAAGGTACTATGAAGTGTTATATAAGATTAAGTGCTATTGCTATTAACAACTGCCTTGCTGAACAACAGAAATTCCGGCTTCAATTCTGGACATAAGTGAAGGACTACCTGTAATTAGTAGACCAACCTTCTCCTCTTTGTTCAAACAACAAGTCAACTCTTTTTTTCATTTGAGTGGATTATAGTCAGCGGTGTAGTGACTTTCCGAGAATTACGGGGAGTGCATGCGGCTCTCTCGATTCTGATCACGCTCCCTTCCAGTCGATTTTGTCGATCATCTGATGATGCACGATTAGCCCTCCTTGGATCTCCAACTCTGAAGACAGATCTTTAAGGCGGCTGCTTCCTTGTCTAATCTGCAGTTTCATGTTTTCTTCTCGTATTTCTCCCTGCTCCGCTGACCCCAATCCATTAAACGCATCGTTCTTCCCCATCTCAGCCTCCCTTCGAACGGGAACACAATTTTGGCCGATTCGCATTCTTCAACAGAGGCAGAAAGTGAAAAATTGCTCTCGCCCCGAAGATCATCCATCCCTCCATGTGCATTTGGAGCTTCTTTGCTTAGTTCTTCTTCCTTCAAAATGACCCCCTTTTCAGAGAAATCTCCCCTTTTCTCCCCTTGTTTGCTCTCCTTCTATCTGTTCAACAGGAGTCAATTTGGGTTCATGCATAAAGCGAGAGATGGATTTGGCTGCAAGTTAATATACACAGGATGCTTTTTCTACAGTTCTCCGATTTAGTTTTTCTTCCTTTCCTGGTGCAAGATTCTTGAGGATGCGGCTGAAGGGGGAAAGAGTCGTGGGTATATTGTGGGTATATATGGGCATATTCTCACATGAGTGTATACAAATCAACACAACACTTCCAGATGCTGCTGTTATATTGTAGGAGAACATTAGGAAGCTACTGCAATATGTTTAGTACCAAAAGGCAGGGCAAGAATCAGTCGATGGAAACTAATCAAGGAGAGAAGCAACCTAGAATTAAGCAGAAATTTCCTGACAGCGAGAACAATTAATCAGTAGAACAACTTGCCTCCAGAAGTTATGGGTGCTCCATCACTGGAGGTTTTAAAGAAGAGATTGGACAACCCTTTGTTTGAAATGTTACAGGGTTTCCTGCCCAAGAAGGGGGTTGATTTAGAAGTCCTCCAAGATCCCTCCCAACTCTGTTATTCTGTTCTTCTTATTCTGGTTGTCCATCTACTATGGCGTCTGGTAAAGAAGTAAAAGATTAGAGTACAGGTAGTCCTTGACTTGCAACCGTTGCTTACTGGTTGGTGGGAGTGGTCTTGGTGATTCCAGCAAGCCCACCAACACTGACCGGGCAAGTCAACTAGTATATAAAATGAGAGCAACTCTGAAGACACTGAATATGTTATCTAGTTGGGTAATGAAATGTCTGCAAGAAATCAACCAAGCTCAGAGTGCACCAAGGACTCCCCAGTTCTCCTCCTCCTCCTCCTCTCCGCAAACCCAACTCCCTTCTAGCACTGATAATGTTACCTAGTTGGGTAATGAAATGTCTGCAAGAAACCAACCAAGCTCAGAATGCACCAATGACTCCACAGTTCTCCTCCTCCTCCCCCTCCTCCTCCTCCTCCTCCTCTCTGCAAACCCAACTCCCTTCTAGCACTGATAATGTTACCTAGTTGAGTAATGACATATCTGCAAAAAACCAACCAAGCTCAGAGAGCACTGAGGAACCCCACTTTCTCAATCAGTTTGCTCAGGAATGGAATCATTGTGCCTGAATTATAATTGCACAGGGCTAAAGGAGTTCCTTCAACGCAGGAGGTTTTATTAGTGGTTTCTTTAGAGGAAGCATTGATCGTGCCCTTTAACTGAGGACAGAGAGTAGAGTACTTACTGTTTGCAGACATATATATCCCAGCATATATATATATCCCAGCATATATATCTTTGCAGATATATATATCCCAGCAAAGCAGACTACCAGCACCAGATTTGAAATAGTAACGGCAGTTGCTGCAGAAGGCTCCTTGCATAAGCCTGATGATGGCAGGTGAGATTCTGCCGAAACGTTGCCAAAGTGCTCTCAATCTTACACGGGAGAAGACCCGACTACACCAAGACTTGCATACCCGTACCCGTGAAAATCTACGAAAACAAATTTATATATTTTTATGCTGGTTGCCAGAAAAAAAAAAAAGCCTAGAAACTAGTGGATTGGGATTTCACTGAACTAGGGCTGCATAAAAATCTTGGTTTACGTAGGAAGAACCTGGCTAAAGGGAAATACATTTAAAGCCTATGAAAAGGAAAGAAAACAAATACTGTACCTTTACAGGGAGGATACATGGGATGAGGGTGTGGCTAACTGATGAGGACTTATAAGTCCGAAATAGATCTATTTTAGTCTCTTTAGTCTCCCAATGGGCAGCAGAGTGTTTGCTGGCTGCCAGAAAAAAAAAATCCTAGAAACTAGTGGATTGTGATTTCACTGAACTAGGGCTGCATAAAAATCTTGGTTTATGTAGTAAGAACCTGGCTAAAGAGAAATACACATAAAGCCTACGAAAAAGAAAGAAAAGAAATACTGTACCTTTACAGGGAGGATTCATGGGATGAGGGTGTGGCTAACTGATGAGGACTTATAAGTCCGAAATAGATCTATCTTAGTCTCCCAATGGTTGGTGTGTGTGTGTGTGTGTGTGTGTGTGTGTGTGTGTGTGTGTGTATGTGTGTATGTGTGTGTATATATATATATATAACTAAGGGTGCTCTGTTTTTGGTATTTTGGAAGACGCTAGGTGCTTTGAACCCTCGCAGGTGTTCTTGTCAAGAGTCCAATACAAATATTTTTTCTTTTCTTTTTTTTTTTTAAGTTCCTTGGGCAACATTCTGGCCGTTACTCATTTAGAACAAGCTGTCATTGGAAGGCGTTCTCCCAACAGACCACACATCCTTGGGTCTTATCAGTTCAGGAGGCATCGATCTAATTTGCAGGGTACAGTTTGATTCTCCACCGGCACTTAGAAAGCCACGGTGAGTGACACTTGCTAAGACTTGGCAGAAGAAGTCCTGTTTTTCGTTTTGTTTTTTTAAAATCCGTAGTTTTGTAGATTGAGTTTAAGCAAGCAATTCCTCAAGGCTGTCATTCTGTCAGGAGAGCAGGTGAAAATGCCTTTGTATTAGCTGCTCCTTTGCCCTGCTGTTTACAACATGCAATGCATCTGCGTTAAGACTCTGGAAACTGTTGCCATAGCCACCCCTTTTCTAAACTCATTACATATGTTCAGTCAAAATAAATTTGCAATGCCCCTTAATCTCGTCTTGCCTTTGAAATAGCTTCAAATATTCCAGCTTGCTTGATCGTCCCTGGCTGAAAACTTATTAATGGCGATTCGTTGTGCTATACCTACAAAAATGTAAAAAAAAAAAAAAAATTAAGTGTAAAAAATCATTAACTTACAGCTGGGTAGAAAATCCTACCACAATTTTAGACAACTGGGGAAGAACAGAGACAAAAATAATGGCTATAAATTCATATTCATTCACAAAATGGATTGGCATGAGAAGTTTCAAAAATATTTCCAGGATCTATGTACAGATAGTCCTCAAGTTACAACTGTTAGCAATTCTGTTTTATATAAAGCATCACATGGAGCAAACAAAGAGCACAGTCACCATGTGCCTTACTGCTAACTATATTATTGAAACAGGAAACAAGAAACTCTACTTAGAACAAAAGAGCATAGAGTATATACCATAGATACAAACTTATAAATACTTCCACCTACTGGCTGAATACTACTGTAGTTGTTGCAGAGAAATACGTTCCAACAATGAATTCCAACAACAACAGTTCATTTAGTGACTGCTCAAATTTACAACAGCACTGAAAAAAAGTGACTTATGACCGTTTTTCACACTTGCGACTGTTGAGACATCTCCATGGTCACATGGTCAAAATTCAGACACTTGACAACTGACTCCTATTTATGACCATTGCTGTGTCCCGGGGTCATGGGATCCCTTTTTGTGACCTTCTGACAAGCAAAGTCAATGATTGATTCACTTAACAACACCCACAGTAACACACACTAAAATGCTTAAGAGGGTGTGTAAGGTCAGCGGGGGTTCTGCAAACCATGTCAGGAGCATCTGGATAAAGTAATAGCAGAACATCTGCCTCTGCAATTCTGTGGGGATTAAAGTTTGAATCTGGAAGTTCCTCAACCAATGAGTTTATGTTCAGATGAAACAGAGAAGGTGCAGGGAACTATGGAGATGACCTTGAAGAAGACATCTGGAAATGGTTAGGAGAAAATCAGCTGCAGAAGACACTTATGCTGAAGTCAAGAGAGTGGGAAAGGATTAGAAAAAGACTCAACTTGTCATTCTCTCCGGTATTAAGCAGGAGGGAAGAGAAAACATGGACAGACTTGGAAAATGATGTTACTGTAGTCTCAATATAATTCTAGTCGTTGAGTTGTTGAGTCAGTTCTATCTTCTCCATTGGCATCAAGAATCTTGGTAGCTCAGGGTTGAAATGAGGTGCTCTTGGGGCTTTGCTTGATTTCTTGCATATGTTTCAAGCCAACTAAAGCCCTTCAAAATACCCTAAGCAGACCAAAAGACCGAACAACCCCAGAAGAAAAAACAGGATGCACCCCAGAAGAAAAAACATTGCATTGTTACAATGCAACAACCTCCTGGCTTGTGTCTGCAGCCAGAGAGGTGACTGGAGACTGGATCCAGGCTGTTGCCAATGCTTCGTTAAGGGAGGGGGTCTTCCCTGCTGCACTCAAAGAGGCGGTGGTTCGGCCCCTCCTTAAGAAGCCTAGCCTGGACCCTGACGTCCTTAACAACTACCGTCCAGTCTCCAACCTTCGCTTTTTAGCGAAGGTTGTTGAGTCCGTGGTGGCACAGCAATTCCCTCAATTCCTGGAGGAAACAGACTACCTCGATCCTTACCAATCTGGTTTCAGGCGTGATCACAGCATGGAAACGGCATTGGTCGCTCTAGTAAATGATCTCTGGCGGGCTAGAGATGGGGGTTGCTCTTCCATCCTGATCCTTCTTGACCTCTCAGCGGCTTTCGATACCATCGACCATGGTATCCTGCTGCAGCGGCTCAGAGAGATAGGGATAGGAGGCACTGTTTTGCGGTGGTTCTCCGCCTACCTCTCTGGTCGCTTGCAGTCAGTTTGGGCGGGGGGGGGGTCAGGGATCCTCCCAGAGGCCCCTCACTTGTGGGGTGCCACAGGGATCGGTTCTCTCTCCCCTGCTCTTTAACATCTATATGAAACCGCTGGGTGAGATCATCCGTGGTTTTGGGGTGAGGTATCATCAATATGCTGATGATACCCAGCTTTACATCTCCACCCCTGACCACCCTAGTGATGTCCTTTCCGTGATGTCCCATTGCCTGGAAGCGGTGCGGGTTTGGATGGGGAGGAACAGACTCAGACTCAACCCTTCCAAGACTGAGTGGCTGTGGATGCCGGCATCTCGGGATCTGGAGGTTCCAACTTTAATGATCGGGGGGAGGGGGGAAGACTCTTACTCCCTCCGATAGGGTTCGCAATCTGGGCGTCCTCCTGGATTCTCAGGTGTCCTTGGATGACCAAACTCAAATCACCAAATCACCAAACTCAGAGAGCACCAAGGACCCCATAGTCCCCCCCTCTCCTCCTCCTCCTCCCCCCCCCACAAACCCCATTTCTTCCTAGCACTGTTGATATTACCTAGTCTGGGTAATGAAATATCTGCAAGAAAACACACAAGCGCAGAGAGCACCAAGGAGCCCTCGGCTACATCTTTGTCTAACCCCCTTATGTACAAGAATGGATGCCGAGAGTAAGCCTTATGAGCTCAGCCTGGAGCCGTTATACCATAACCCGTAAAAATGTGGTTTTCTGTCTGTTTCAAAGGCACCAGCGAGTAATTACAAACCAGGAGCAGGTAGTATAAGCAGCCATTAAGAGTTTGGGCTCCATATGGAAAGGGCTTTGCTTTTCCAGAGGAGACTCCACAGGGAGGAGTTTTCCATCAACCCTGTTGTAATTTTGCTAGCAAATGCTTGTAAATTTATTATATGCAAATACATGGTTGGGTTAGGAGGTTGGATTGAGTCAAGCCCATTGAGTCCTGAGTCTATAAATGGCTTCAAACTTCAAAGAGACTTACAGGTGATTTGGAAATTTGATGCCTTTTCGCTTTGTGGAATCTCAACCCTTCCTGGAGGGGCAGAGCTGAAGGGAAAGCTGGGTCTTGTGAGGTCTCCTCTGATATTAACATGAGTTAATGAGCTTTATCGCTTCTTCTGCACCGACCTATTAGAACATTTTGTGCTGTTCTGAGTCTTCTGTTTCCCCATCCTGCTTGAGTTTGTATTCGGCACATTTGTCTGAAAGAAGAAGAAGAAAGCAGAGTCGAATTTATCGATCGCCTGAGTGGCTCTGAGAAACTGTGCTTGCTGTACGATGATTATAATTAAATAGAGCATTTCTTTGTATCATAGTTTTTTTAAAAAAATTTGATTTATATGCCGCCCTTCTCCGGAGACTCAGGGCAGCTTACAATGCGTTAAGCAATAGCCTTCATACTTTTGTATATTTTATACAAAGTCAGCTTATTGCCCCCACAAACTGGGTCCTCAATTTACCTACCTTAGAAAGGATGGAAGGCTGAGTCGACCTTGAGCCTGGCAAGAGTCGAACTTACTAATTGCAGACAGCTGGAGTTAAATTACAATGCATTAGTCTGCTGAGCTATCCAGGCTCCTAGTGAACTCGCAGTGAACTTTATATGCAGTAGATATAACACTGTGGAGTCCTTGAGCTTGGTTGTTTTCTTGCAGACACTTCACTGCCAAACTTGATAACAGCATCAGTGCTGGTAAGGGAGTAGGGTTGCCTTGTGATTGTTAGTGGGAGTGGAGACTTGGTGGGATATTGTTTACTGTTAGCTTGCTTGTCTGAGTTGGTAGTTTCCTGGGTATTGTGTGATTCTTGGGCATGCCACTAGTGCAGGGGTCAGCAACCCGCAGCTCTGGAGCCGCATGTGGGTCTTTCATCCCTCTGCTGCGGCTCCTTGTCACCGGTCGGCTCCATAATTGATAGGGCTTTCGGTTAGGACAGGTAGAGGAAAAAAGACGCTGTGCTAGGAGGAGACTCTATGGTGGGGGAACTGGACTTCTGGTCGGCTCCAGAATTAAACAGGGGGCTTCTGGTTAGGACCTTTGTGGCTCTTTGAGTGTTTAAGGTTGCTGACCCCTGCACTAGTGTAAAATGAAAACAAACCCTACTCCCTTACTAGCACTGATGATGTTACCTAGTGTTGTGCCCTCTGGCAGCCAAATCAGAGGAGGAGGAGGAGGAGGTGTGGGAGTCAGAGTCAGCATCAAGGCAACCTGAGAGCTCTGAGGGGGAAGAGGGAGTGGAGTTGTCAGAGAGAGAGAGAGAGAGAGAGAGACAGAGGTGGAGCCTGGGCCGTCCATCAGCTCTCAGATGGAGAGTCAACAGCCCCCAGGTCTGGAAGTGGCTGATGATGAAGAGGAGGAACAGCTGGGTCCAGTGCCTGACACACAGATGCTCAGAAGGCAGAGGAGAGGAGAGCAGTGGAAATCTATGGGCCGGTCCTTGGGACAGAAGAGCCACCGCTGCTAGCAAAGTCCCACCCGAGCTCTGGGGATAAAAGGCAGAGGGCAGAGATGAATAGATGTGGCAGACAACTATTCATCTCCCTGCCAGACAGATTTGTTAGCCTGCAGTAAGAGAGAAATTTTTTCCCGGGGTTGCCGGCATTTCTAATAAAGGAAACTTTGAGTTAACTTCAGAGGGTTTGTCCTGTTTGGAGATCTGGGTTATAACACCTAGTTTGGTAATGAAATGTCTTAAGAAAGCTGCCAAGCTAACGAAGAGAGGCCTCAAGACCCCACACTTCAACTCCAAGCTACAAATATTTTCTTCAATAGATGTAACATTTGTCAGAATTTTTGTTATGTGGCACAAGCAGCACATTACATGCTTTTTGCAAAG